CTTAACTAAAGCTTGTTTGGGATTTGACGGGTTCACTCGCAAGTCTCGGACGTCGGTAGCAATCGAGGGAAGAGGTTGTTACAGGTAAGTGTTAAAAGGTAATATAAGTTAGGAAATATTGACTTGGCCTAGTACACATGATGAGCAAGGTGGAATAATACCTTGGGAAAAGGAATTTCCAGCATCTACAATGCTGCAGCGCTGAAGCTGCCTTACTTCTAGCAACCGCTACAACACTGCGACGCTAGCTACCCAGCGCCACAGCGCTGATGATACTTTGATTCTAGTAGATTTGGACAAAAAAATAAGTAAATAAAGAGTGATTGGCTCAATAATGTGGCATGATGATGGATTTACAAGCCAAATTATGGTTATTGGCTTTGATGTTAGGCTTTCTTAATTGGAGTTTTAAGTGCTTTGAAGAATGTTTATGTGAATGAATGGAAAACTTCTTTATTGTCTTATAAATTGACATGTAAGCAAAAGAGAAATTAAAAGTTCTTGAGATGGCTATAATGAGATAAGTTATAATGTGAAGTGTTAAGATGAACATCATGTTAACCAAAGTCAAATCCTAAGGAATAAAGAAGACAAAAGATTAAGCCTTGTTAAAAGGCCAAGAAAAAAGAGAGTGAAAAGTCAAAAGAATGTATGAGACATTGATAAAGTGATGCCAATACCAAATGATGAAATTGTGAATGAAGGATTACAAGATTGGCATAGCAAATGAGTTGAATAAAGTAATGTCCTAAGATTTGTAAATCTTATCTTGACAGAGTGAAGGGAAAGAATTAGTAACAAGACAAGGCCCATTATGTGGCATACTAGAAACTTATGAATATCAATTGAGGCATGAATAGATAAGTATGCATTCAAATTTCTTGGAGAATAAGTGTATGCTTTAGGATGAATGTGTTTGAAAGGTTAATGAACAATAAGTTATTCATTATTTTAAGAATGCATCAAAGTTTCATTAAAGGATGTATCAAACTATGTGTGGTCACATGTTGTGAGACATGAACTTAAGGTGGTATCTACAAGGAAATATTCAAGAGGAATCCTACTCTGAATCTTATGAAAGCACACATTAAGCGGTGTAGTGCAAAAGGAAGCTACAAATAGAGAATAGATACTTGTAATGACATTGAGATGTTTTTAGTGGAATCTTATTTCAAGTATTGCAATTTTAAGCATTGACTGTGTAGATGCAAAAGAAAAAGGAAATAATGACGTATTGGTGTAAAAGGATAGTATGAAATATGATTGAAGATAACCATGATAATGAATTCAGTTAATGAAAACCTCTCAATGTATTATGGAAACTAAAGTTTGAAAATGCATGAGGTACACATGACTTAATTAATCTAAGTCCTGAGTGACTAGATAATATCGAAATGTAAAAACAAACGATAAAGATATAATATATGTTGGTAGTGTGAAAGATAATTGAGAAGTAATGATGACTTTTAGGAATTGTGGTGTTGCAAAAGATGCAACAATCAAGTAAAGATGAATCTTAAAGGATTAATAAGAATGTAAGGCATACACGGATACCGGATAGTAATTTGATGAAAAT